TTGCTTAAATTTAGATTTTAACATCGAATCGCTTGATAAGTTGTTTCCTCTTTTTCACTATAAGTGTTTTTTCAACAATTGCAGAAAGGTACACTTTTCATTAGAAAATTATTTAGTTATGCAAGACATTGTGTTATTTAACAATTCTAAAATTATCTCGTGGAACCCAAGATAGTAAACAATATAATATTCACAATCTATTGGGAAGCACTTATATAAAGATACACATTTTAACAAAAGTTTAAAAAGTGTTGAAAAATAAAGTTTATATAATATAAATAAAATTTTCAGTTTTAATGCACATGATGAATTTTAGATACTTGTGTAATTATACAAACTTCATAGAAATAATTATTTTGCATAGATATTCATACGTTTCTTTTTGATTTTTTTTTTTTTACTCGTAGATCCCCAGGGTTTCGTGGAAAACAGTTTGAAGACCCCTGCCATACATGATAGGACCCCTGTTACTTTAACTTATCAAAACGAGGAAAAACAAAAAACTGGACTATGCATTGACTATAGAGAACTGAATGCAATTTGTAAAACAGATGCAAAGTCCTTACCTCGAATAGACTCCTTGCTAGATAAATTAAATAATGCTAAATTTTTTTCCACGCTTGATCTCGCGCCTGGCTACTTGCACATTCCAATGCACGATAAAGATGAAGAAAAATTAGCTTTTATTACAAATAAAGGTTTATATGAATTTCAAGTCCTCCCTTTCGGTTTTCGAAACGCCCCTTCAATTTTTAATCACTTCATAAAATTTTAACTAAATATAAATGCTTAAATTTTGCTTGTCACTATTTTGATTATATAGCTATTTTTTCGAATTCTTTAGAGGAGCACTATGCTCATTTAAGAAAAATATTCAAAATTTGTGAGGAAGAAAACATTAACCTAAAATTTTCAAAATATGATTTTGAAAAAAATAAGATAAACTTTTTAGGCCATGAAATTAAAGAAGGTTGCATTACCCCTGATAATCAAAGTATTGAAACCATTGAAAAATTACAACCTCCTAAAAATATTAAACAAATTCAAAGTTTTCTTGGTTCTGTAAATGTTTATAACAAATTCATTGATTCATATGCTAAAATTAGAGAACCTTTGAATGAACTATTAAAGAAAGATAAACAATGGAATTGGACTGTTGAATGTCAAATAGTATTTGAATTTTTAAAAAATAAATAAATAACTAAATGATGATCCTAAATTACTTCTTCATGTATTCTGAGATGCTTCTCAAATAGAAATTAGTGCAGTTTTAAAACAACCTTATAAATCTGGTAATCTTCACCCAGTATCTTATCATTCTAGAGCTGTACGTGATGATGAAAAAAAAAAAAAAATACTGTATCACAGAATTGGAATGTTTGGCCATAGTAGATGCTCTTGATAAATTTTATTATTTAAATGATAAAACATTCATAATCCCTACTGATCATGCTGACCTTGTTTGGCTTAAAAATGAGAAACATTTAAAAGTTAAACAATTAAGCATTATGAAGTAAAATATTTAATAGGGACACTATAATGTTGAAGCCGACATGTTATCAAGACATCCTGGCACTCAATATATCCAACACTCTGTACTTTTACTTGAATTAGATGAGATAAAAACACATCCAAAATTTAGGCAATGTAAATGATTCTAAATATAAGAAAGTTAATGATGTAACGTCGTCAGTAGTTAGAAAACAAGAAAATTTGTCACAGCCTCATTTTAAAATTTAATGGGGTGAGGTTCACCCCAATCGAAGACGTCACAATGTCCTTGTTCTTAAAAAAAAAATCTGTTTAAAATAGTTGTACCTTATTCATTAAAAAGAAAAATTTTGCAAAATCCTCATGAATAATTTGAACTCCCAGGCACTCAAAACATGATAAATTTAATAACTCGCCAATATTGAAGGCCTCATATTTACTTCAAAATTTGTTAAACATTATAATGTATATCAATCAAATAAAAAGAAAAGGCCAAAAAGATTTGGTCTTTTACAGACTACCCCTCACAAATCAACCTTTTGAGTGTATCTCTGTTGATAGTGCAGCAGGATTTAATTATTATAATTCTACTAAAAATATCTCCACTTAGTAATTGATGATGTCCCTTTCAAAAGTGAAACAACAAAAACAAACCAATTGCCTAAAAGAAATTTTCCAAATTCAAGTACCAACTAATTTGTTAATTGATAGAAATGGTGATTTAAGCGTTTTCTGAGAAATTACGTTCTAAACTATTTATAAACTGCTTCTCATCATTAGCAGAAAAATGGGAACGTTTGAATCATTCGATTGGAACCAAATAAAGTAAATTCTTCTCCTACCAAAGTTCCATGGACTAAAATTCTCGAACAAGTAATTATTGAGCAGGATTTATAACACCTCCTTCAGAGTGCTGCAGATTTGTAATTTGGCACATACCCATCTATTAACCCCAAATCAGTTAAAGAAGGCAGCAAAAGACAATACTATAAAATATCATGAGAAAAACAAAATTAAATACGATGCTCGTCTTATTGATTCTCCTTGTGATCTATGAGGAATTCAATTACGCAAATCGTACAAAATTATCTCCAGTTTTTTCAGGCTCCTATGAAATAGTACAAAAAATTTCTGATGTGAATTGTGAAATAACAAGAACTAATGCTTTAATTAAAAAAGCTATTGAAGTTCATGTTTCAAAATTGAAGGCTTACTATCCTCCCGAGGAATTAAAATTGAGTCATGAATAGTAATAAAATATTTCGTTTTTTCTATTAGGTAGATTCGCCTTTTTCCATTCTTAAGATGTTTTTGTTTGCTTGATGTTGATGTGAAATATACCACAGTAAGAAATAATTGGTTGTTGTCGTGTGTTTCATACAGGGATACATACGAAAGACAGATGAACAGAAACATACAATACAAACACAGAAGAATATAGACTTTTATTGCAAACGATGCTCCCAGCATTGAACAGAAGGGGTGCGCTGCTTTCCATCCCACACAGGAATCCATTTCAGGGGAAAGTCCGACTTCTTTTCCATTCATGTCTTATTCGGGATTCGAACCCGAGCCCACTCGATTACAAGCCGAGTGTCATAACAACCATACTAGATAGGGTGGTCTTATGCTTGTGTGAAAGCAGAGTCAACCTTTCAGTGCAATTCACTTCTTTCTGTTTTTCATCCACAAGTATTCTCTTTATCTTTGGAGAAGTGGGTGGAAATATGGAGAAAATTGAATTATATCCCCTTTCTTAGTAACTTTAATGACAGGCTATTAAGTTTTAAGTATACGCAAAGAAATCAGCACAAACTTTATATATAAACAAGCTTATACTTTTATATGATGTGTGTCATTGATAATGTTTTTATTCTACAACAATTTTTGAATCGTCATCATTTTTGAATCAATTTTTGGTTCGCATCGTCCAAGTTTAGGTGCCTCCCTCTAGGAAAGAAACTGGGCGCCAAAATTACCTGTGGTGCTTGGTATCCACCTTTATGGTGCCGCACTAAAAAGAGATACCAGCTTCCGAGGAATGTACTAGGTCTGCAATGGAAAAATTCCACAATCCGCAGCCTATTAGAAATTTAAAAAACCCAACTTTTGAATCTTATTTCTTTATTTTAATTTTAAGGGCTCAGAACTTTTATTATATATTTTTTATACTATAATACCGATACTTTTGTGTTGTATAATTTGATATGGTATAAAAATAATGTTTGTAAACATTACTTGTCTGATATATGATTAGCAGTGCTGAAATGACGATACGCCTTTGATTTTTCTTACATTTATTACGGAACACATTTTGCGGCGAACACAATTATATCACAAGCGCATACACACACAACAGCAAGAGAGTACAGCAAGTAGAGAATTGAAAGTTAACATTCGTTTTCGGTGATTTCCCTCAGTTAGGGAAATTTTGTCTTTGATCATTCTCCTTATAGGGATTAAACTCTAACATTACTATTTATATAGTAGCCCAGATACAAGGTTATGAATTTTATTTTTACGGACTCGCATTTTATATTTATAATTCAATGATACATATTTATTTCTATATTTTTTTATACTTTTAATCTCCTTGCTGGAGATCGTTTTCCTATTTATGTTTAAGTGAAGTTAAAATTTATAAATTTTAATTTTATACTTTAAGACACGGGTTTGTGTCCACAGACCCTGAAATGAAATAATTCTTGTTAATTTTCTCTTGAGAGCTGTTTAATGTGTAATAATCCTGAGCCATCTAGGACAGTGAAAAAAGAAACTACTAGCTTACCCGCCTAACGAGATTAAACCGCAACTTCAAAATTATGTGCTCAGCGTTTTTAAATTAGTAGTTATGTAATCTACATTGTTCAATTTTTTCAATGAATCAGAGGAACCTTTCATATGATTTTGGGCACTTCCGGTTGGTATTTTGTTTATAAGCTGGCTTTTTCTGGAAAATTCTCGTCGCTTATTGTGAACGCCATGTAAACCGCACGCGTGTGTCGTCTGTATATTGCTGTTGTATTTGTGTATGCGATGTCTCCTATATGTAAAACAAACGTGGATTGTTATTTAAGGAGATGTTTCCTCCTCAATTGGCCATTGCAGCAATCTAAAATATTTATTGCATTTACATTTTCTTACAATTTAAAACATTTTTGAGATAATTATATATCGACAAATCTATGTCATCATGTTACAAAACCTATTACATTTTAGTTAGTTGTCGAAAACCCTTGCGGCTGATATGACAAGTTCTCGTGGTACAATAGATTATGAAAAATTGCTCTATGTTGTACAAGAATTCCTCTGCTGTTTAAAATGCAGGTTTATCACAAAACTAGAAGTCGACACACCCTCTTTATGGGGTAACTGCAGGGATCCTCGTACTGCAAACTTCTTTGCAAGTCCAAAAAGGTTTCACACTCTTCCCAGTTATAAATACCCTGGGAAAGAAACAGATAAGCACGTAAATAACAACCCCTCTTTCTGTCGAAGTTTTCCATTGGACAACGATCACAATGAAATCACAAACCCTCCCCCTCCTCCTTCTCCCTAGTAAGTCCTTTTGTATTGAAAATCATACCTTTCTCAAATCATTCAATCTTCAAAAGATAAAAGAAATTTTTTACGCATCCACTCACACCTACACAGACCCAAATTAGTACAAAAATGAAGCAAGCATTTTCAATCAATCCAAAAATGTACATTCTATATTAACCTGTCTATATTTTTTCTTCACCCCCACCCTCACCTTTGTCCATCCACTTTATTTCTGCTTTGTTCCCCTTGCTTCAGTTCTCCATTCAAAACATTTTGTTCTTCACTTCATTATCTTTTTGCATTATTTCAGATGAGCATATACATATAAAACAAACAATTCTAATTAATAGTAATTTAATAGTATTATCCAATTCAGTGCTTAAAAGTAATATTTTACATCATCTGCATTTGGCAAGGGCTGTTCATCACTCGTGGCATTGAAATTTGAAACTGCCCGAGAGTTACTGACAACGTGTCTCGTCGTTTTGAACTAACGTCAAGTGACATACCCGACTCTCTCCAAACTTCTACACTACATTAACGTGAAGACTTTGATTCTCGACAAATTTAACGAACAACAACGCCTCTACATGGTGGTTCTTCAATGGCACCAGGACTCGAACTCGGGATTTTTCGACCACGGTGCCAAAATAAAAGCATAAGTTACTGCGAGTTAACAATTGTATAAATCTTGGGAAAACAGCGATATGTAATTTATCTGTTTTTCTTTAAGAGACAAACAAAGTGTTCAAAAATCAGAAGTGTGCAAATGATATGTAATGTTAAACTCACTGCGGTCAGATGCACTGCGAAAAACCGGTATTCAGAACTGAGGACTCACTTTTGATTGATTGAATATTAACGTCGCACTGTTCAGCTGCACGAGGGCTTTTTGGCGACGGACCACGTAATTTTGAACCATGGTCAAGTGACGTGGATGACACCTGAGCTGGCAACCC